CCCCAAAACCCCAAAACCCCAAAACCCCATACTTGGAGATCTTTTGGTCTTATAAAAATATCTGAAATTTGCTGAAATGGAGTCTGCTTCTGAAGAAAACCAAGAAAGATTTCGTATAAGTATCAGAATGAGGCCTCTCAATACTCGAGAGAAAATCTTAGGTAGTCTAAACTCTTATCGATTTAGGAGCGAAGCAAGCTGTCTTTGTTAATGAAGATCACAACAAAATTTATGTCCATTCTTCAAACGACTCAGCTTCTTCAGGTAACTTAAGAAGAAATCTTTAGAAACTTTGAATGAGTTTACCTTCGATCATGTATATGGAGAACTCTCCTCTCAGAGACAAGTGTATGTCGACAATGTGAAGCCATTAGTTGAAGACTTCTGCAATGGATATAATGCAGCCATATTTTGATATGGACAAGCAGGAACAGGCAAAACACATAACTTGCAAGGTGTTACAGATTCGCCTTCTTTGCAAGGGATCATTCAGAGGTCAGTCAACGATATATTCACGAAAGTTTGTGAATATCCCAAGATTTTGATAAAAGTGTCCTTCTTCATGATTTGCAGCGAACAATGGTATGACTTACTTCAAGATCATGGAGAGTCTCACTGGCTTAAAAATGGCGACTACAGAGAAGCTTTCTTTGCTGGCAAATACACGGTAAATTTCCCAATAATATTCAGGCAACTTGTGCAAGCGAAGTGATGGAATACCACCAAAAAGGAATCAACGAGTATAAGGCTTACTAACTTTATAGAGCATGAGTTTGGAGTACTAATATGGGAGGTATGATTTTCTTTAGATATTTTGATAACTTAGAATTAATATTATTTAGAAATGACTACTAAAAATACGCATATTTTCCAGATAACACTTGATGTGATAGACAAGGATGGAGATAATACTATAATAACAAACAGCACAATCTCGTTTGTTGATTTACCTGACTCTGCAAGGATTAATAGAGCGGGAATTGGAGGTCAGAGACTTAAAGAGATGACAAGAATTGAATGAGCTCGAAGAGGCCTTCCATTACTCCTGAAAAGTCTCTCAAAGAAAAGCCAAGAAGGTATACTGTTCATTTTTGTGTTTTGTAATTAATTTAAAATAAAATAGGTGATGATAATGAAAAGAAGGTTCATATCCCTTACAGAAATTTCAAGCTTACATTTTATATGAAGCAAGCTCTTGGAAACAACTGTAAAACTCTGATACTAGGAACAATAGGGCCGGCAGATCTTAATGCTGAAGAAACATTGCAGACTTTAAAGCTGTTAGATAAAGCAAAGTTGATAATAAATTATCCTCGACTTGTAATTAACGCCAAGTAAATTTATTTGTAAATTAAATAGGAGCTCGGTGTTGACTAGACTTAGAGCAGTTGCTTATTGTTTTGCTAATGATGAATTTCCTGAAAAATTCTTTCCAGATTGAATCGAAAGTGATGATTTCCCTACCGATCCATGCATTTTTCTCCCTAAACTCGCAGAGTGTTTGGATACTAAAAATGGAGATGAAATATGCACTATAAAAGACACAGATATAGGTATAATATGAAAGATATCATATACAAATATGAAGCAAGTTATTACTGATATTCTGACCCATATTCAACCTTTTAAGTTCGATAAACTATGCCAACTGGTTGATAATTGCGAAGAAGAGGTCCAAAAACCAAACTATTTAGAGCTACTAAGACTTCATTATAAAGTAGGATTCACACTAAACCATAGCACTGGAAATCCGACTGACCATCAGAAATCCACCTCAAATTAAAAGATATCAAAACCTCCCTAACATTCAACCCCTCCTAGCATACTCGGGGTTTTGGGGTTTTGGGGTTTTGGGG